AAACAGTTCCATAGATTTGGGCTGTGAGGTCGGTCTATTTCAGGCTGAAAAAACGACTAAGTCCCATCGCGAATGGGACTTAGTCTCTGCAGCTGAAATAAGGCTGAAAAAAACGGCTGAAAAAAAGACTAAGTCCCATCGCCGAATGGGACTTAGTCTCTGCAGCTGAAATAATTTCCCATTTACTGAACCAAGTGGGAAATAGCAAGGCAGGCACAAAGGGTTTGCACCAGGTCTGGGGACACAGGGGACACCGTCTTAAAGGGGCCGTGTCCCCAACAAGTCTGGGGACACGGCCTTAAAGGGGCAGTGTCCCAATCTTCCTGATGTCCCAAAAAAGGTGTTTAAAGGGCCAGCACCAGTCACATAAAGAGTCCATAAGCCCCAATATGCCCACCGACAGTCTTAAAGGGCCATACACACCAAATAAAAGTGCATACATTTTCACAATCTCCCAGGGGCCATAGTCATGCAGGAGGAGGCTGGCAAATAGGCTTCTCCACAACCCAGGGAAGCAGGGCAATTTGCCATTTAAAGGGCCCGTTACAAATAGCAGTTTGTAACAAGGTGTCAATCCATATCTGCCAAGTGACCCGATGTAGGGGGACCAGTCCCTATTCTGCTCTGTGTCAGTGTGTATCAGGGAACCTTAGGACAGGTGTCAATCCATATCTGCCAAGTGACCCGATGTAGGGGGAACAGTCCCTATTCTGCTCTGTGTCAGTGTGTATCAGGGATCCTTAGGACAGGTGTCAATCCATATCTGCCAAGTGACCCTATGTAGGGGACCAGTCTCTATTCTGCTCTGTGTCCGTGTGCATCAGGGGCTCTGAGGACAGGTGTCAATCCATATGTCAAGGTGTCAATATGTCATATGTCAGGTGTCAATCCATATTGATTGTGATTTAGGAATGTTAGGTGATTTCTGCCCTTTATGGATTAAAACCAGACTCTGTATCAACTGTGTAATTTTCCATGGGAGTTTTGCCATGGATCCCCCTCCGGCATGCCACAGTCCAGGTGTTAGTCCCCTTGAAACAACTTTTCCATCCCTATTGTGGCCAGAAAGAGTCCCTGTGTGTTTTAAAATTCGCCTCCCCATTGAAGTCAATGGCGTTTCGGGCGGTTCGCCGGTTCGCGAACATTTGCGGAAGTTCGCGTTCGCCGTTCGCGAACCGAAAATTTCGGGTTCGCGACATCACTAGTCACAATACATATGGAGTAAGCTAGAGATCAGCAATTTTTTTTCTTCACAAGGTACTGATAGTGAAATATTTAAAGGTAAAGCATTAAATCACAAGTGAAAATGCAAGTGCACAGATTAGTCATATTAGGTTGATTGTAAATTAGCACTATGTCATTTACAACAAAGTATTACACATTCTTAACCACCGACTTTACTAAATGATTATTGATATAATTCTAGAAAATCCAAGTCCATTTTTCAACTGACACTGGCCTAGGGAAATTTGTACTATAAATTACAATAAATAAATACATATCAAAATATGCATCCATAAATAGCCCATAAAGCCTACTGCTCTCCAGAAAAGTAGCATAAAAAATAAACATTATTTAATATACGATAAGGTATTTAAAAAAAAAAAATCACACTGGGACATAACCTATAAACATAAAGTTAACAAATAGATAAACTTTTATTCAACGTTTCACCTAATCTATGGAAATGGATACATAGCTTGTACGTGTAGGGATGGAGCAGGGGAGGGCATAGAATGAATAGTTGGTAAACGACTGAAAAAGAAAGAGATTTAACAAATATCCAAACTGTTAAAGAGACACTAGAGAGAGAAGAACCACTAGATCTTAATGTAGTGGGGCTGGTGTCAAGAGCCTGTCCCTGCAGGCTGAGCAGTGTAAATGCTGAGCTTTCTGAGCATGTTCCCTATGCTGGTTACTCTTTCTCACTTAATCTGTGAACTAAATGGGGAGGGAGAGTGGGAAATCAGTGTACTGTAAAGTAAATACGTAATATATTTTTTATATGTTTTGCAGTACACTGATTGGCCTATATTTTCACCCTCCTGCTTCATCTAATTCATTTTCTGAATCAGTTTTTCAGTAAATTCTGCCAATACCAAACCAACAATCGTCTGAAAATCAATCATCCATGCAAATGTTCTGTTCACAACAAATATATAAGGTCAATGGCAGAGTGAAGGAAGTTAGATGGGGTATACTAGTTAATATCAGAGAAATTCTGTATTTTTTTTTTGTTCTAGACACATGCTCATTTATACACACACACACAGACAAACAGAAACACACATACATACACATACATGAACACACACATATACACACAGCCTTAAATCCTTTAGTTACAGTAGCTTTGTCTGATGTAGCTTTCCTAAAACTCAATTAATTTGTTAAAAAATAATAGCTATTTCTATAGTATTATTAAATTATGGGCTCTACGATAAATATGCCAACTGAGATTATGGAACCAAATTTAATGCTACTGATTGTGCTGTACGCAATACTCTTTGAAAGGTCTCCCATCATAAAAGACTGATTAGTAACCATTTTTTCACCGGTATCATTACATTTCTTTCAGCAGTGAAAATCTATTTTTTGCTTGATGTAAAATAATTTAGGGATTTGTAAAATCCTCTCTAATTACAGTATGTACTGAGACATATATAAGTGCGGCTTATAGATAATTATCTGGTTTGCTATTCAGTTCATTAAGAATTGAATTATTTGATGTTCTTATGCATTTTGAAAATAATCTTAAAAAGTAGAATATATATATATATATATATATATATGTGTGTATGTGTGTATATATATATATATATATATATATATATATATATTTATTTTCGTTAGCTCAAGTCAAGAGTTGTAGTTGTTGTTCAGCCAACCAGAATGGAGTGATATTTGATCAAAGTAACTTAGTCTGTAGAATCACTGCTTATTCCAGGTGCAATTGTTGCTGCATCTCATCTGACCTCCTTGGATTTTTATACATTACAACATCTAGAATTTACAGGGCATGGTGCAAAAATTTAGGTATGTTATCACAGGTAAAAAAAAACATATTGTTAGTAAACCCAGGTCAAAGGAGTATGACTATACTTATTAAATCAGACAGAAAGGTTCCTCCTTACTAAGAGTAGTGGGAAGGCATGTCATGTCTTGAAGCATATTGGCTGTGGCAAGAAAAACACATACTAATTAATTGTCGTCTAAGAATGAGAAGATCAGGTTACACTGAGTATGACCACCAAAACGAAACAAGTAAAGATTGGAAAATGATTGCATGGTTTAATGGAAATACATTTGTGCAGCAGCACGCACATGGTATTTTTTTTTTTTAAATGTGGCATATACTGCGTTAAAAGATTCATGTTGCTTTGCATTATCATGGCATTATTATTATTATTATTATTATTATTATTACTGGCATTTATAAAGCGCAAACAAATTCTGCAGCGCTGTACAATTGGGAAAAAGACAAACACAATAAGAACAGACCGATACAACAGGTAGAGGTGCCTGCCTGTGAACGTACAATCTAAAGGTTTAAATGGGGGTATGAGACAAGAGGTAGCAGAGGAATTTGTGTGTGATGGCAGAGAGAGTTAATGGTATAACTGCAGCAGCTGATAATATGTGAAGGTAATAGGGAGGTGATTGGTGTGGTTCAAAACAGCTGGAGGTGCATGTTAAATAGTTAGAAGGAACCAGGTTGGGTGGGCAAAGCCGAGTAAAATTAAATGGCCTTCATGTTGCAGGGATGGATGGTTTGGGTCTAAGGAAGAGAGATAAGACAGTTACTTTACTTTAAAGGAATTTACAACTGGGGGTGGCAAGCGGGGGAAGGAGGAATGGAGCAGGCCAGCCATTTGTTATAAACAATTTAAATATTTGCTAACCAAAATTCTATCAGCCAGATTATTAATAACTACTTGTAACAGTAAGTACAAATAATTACAGTAATAAACTATATGTAACAATGGTAGCATCATTATAGTAAAATAATAATCTAGTAACAAAATGAAAGAAGTCCAGTTGAATATCTTCTGCATCTGTTTGTACCTTTTAAAGCTGTGAAATATAATGATATAAAGTGTGATATAATATAGTATCTAAAAACACCGCTGCTCAAAATAAATAAAAACACTTGAACCACAGATACAGATCTGACATCCAAGGTCCTAATGCCGTGAAAGTGACTAGGACCAGAATGTAACAATAAAGGGCACAACCAATCCAAAGTAAAAATGAAAATGCCACAAGAAAAACAAGATAAAAAATAAATATATGTAACAATAGGGTGTAACGATATAGAGAGTAACAACAACGGAGGCTAGATCAAAATAGTAACATCACAAAAAAGGTGTAGGAATATCCCTTTAAAAAGAAAAAAACAGATTTAAAAAATAAATAAATACATTTCGGGGGTATATTAGTTAAATATTGAATAGCATAAAAAAGTGACCTGAAAAATAAATTAAAAAGAAAGGCAGAGCAACTCTATAACCACACAAAATGCATAGGAATACACATTAAAAAAAAACAAAAACAAAAAAAACAGATAAAATAAAAATCAGGGGTATATTAGCTAAATAATGAATAACATAAAAAAGTAATGACCTGAAAAATACATTAAAAAGAAAGGCAGGGCAACTCTATAACCATATACCTAAAGCAGCAATATATAGAAAACTGAGTACAATGATATACAAAAGTATATCTGAGGGGGGCCCCTCCACAAATATGGAAGCTGTAGTAAGTAAGGTTGGTGGTGAATTGATGCTTGAAGCTGTATGGTGCCCAGCGAACTCAACCCCCAGGGTACCTGAGTCAGACGGCACAGTTGTCAAATGATGTTCCATATATTAGATGAAAAGAAGAATCTTCCAATCTTAGCTGCAATAGGGGAGCACAACCAGACTGGTAACACGTGGTACGCCGTGGCCGGTATCTTAAAAAAAAAAAAAGGCAGCGGCAAGGCAAGTGGAGCAGCGTGTAGATGATGATGCAGGTGATGATCACATGGAAAAGGAATGTCTACGCGTTTTGTCTCTTAACGGAGCCTTTATCAAGACTCAGTCTACGCGTTTCATCTCTTAGCTGAGACTTTATCAAGACTTGATATAGTCTCAGCTAAGAGACGAAACACGTAGACGTTCCTTTTCCACGTGATCATCACCTGCATCATCATCTACATGCTGGTCACAAATCAGATTAATGATGGCATACATCCTTAAGGCTGGAGTTAGAAAAAACAGTAATACCGGTACTTTCTTTGTAGAACCATAGAATTCAAAGAGTTTGTACTTTATTTTCTCTCTCTCTATCGATCTATCTATCTATGTATCTGTCTGTCTGTCTGTCTCTCTATCATGTATCTGTATGTCTACTTGTCTGTCTAACCACACATCTTAAAATAAAAATGGATTAATTAAGATTATACCAGAAAGACATGACATCAATCAAAAATTAAGAATCCCTGCTTTTCAGAGTTCAGTGTTTTGTTCTGTTGATGGCGGGCTGTGTCAAAACATGTAATTACAGTTAATGCATTAAATGCTTTTCAAATCTTCTTGGTAAAAGGATTGACCATAGCGTGTGAAAAGCGTGTAAAACTGTAATATATGGCGACATTTGACATTGCCCAAATTGTCACTGTTTGTTTATTCGATCCATGGTCTTAAATATTTCATATCTGTTCCCTTTAATCCTCTTCAGCCATGAAATATAAAGCTTGACAGCGAGGATAGCAATTCAACCTCTGAAGACTATTAGTTGGTTGTCTGCCTGTATCAGACAGGCTAACGTAGGTTAAAGCTGATTTGGATTCTGTTGAAGTTCCCTGAAGTTACACTTCGTCTTGACTGGATCAAGCAAGTAAATTTGAAGGATTTGTGAGAGAAATTGAAAATTAGAACTTTCTACTGTCCTTACATTTGCAGTTTTTTGCCGTAGAACTGAAAAAAGATATTGAATATGAAAAGAAACATAGCTTGCAGATATAAGCGATGTAATGTCTCAAACTAACACACTGCTATAATGTATTAGATTTATTTTCTACACAGTTTAACAAGGATTTTTGGTGTTTACAGCTTGCAGCAAGCAATCTCTGCAGATTTAAGACTGACCCTCGCAGGATTCTTTCATTTGTCACAGTACAGGCAATGATAGCAGTAACTATATATCAGGACCTTGGTAAATGCAATAATCCTATAATCTGTGCTTTAATAAAATGATTGCTTTCGTAAATAATATTCAGCGCTTGCTTTAGGCTAGTTCTGACTATTCATTAGACTTGTATAAGTTATAAAGTAACACTGAACTATATTTGGACATTGGAATTATAGTCTTTATACCTGTTGTTTATTTCTATTATTTTAGAGCCACATTTAGATTGGTGCAGAGTTCTGGAGGGTATTGTTTGTTTTTGTTTTTAAGATTTGGACATTATAAAATCATGGCAGCCATTTTAATACCACATGAAATATGTATTTATGTATTAGAAAGACTCACGTGTTTGTAAGGATGTACAAGTAGGGAAGAACAGCCTTATCATTCACATTTAATGTGAATTGCAAATATTTGAAATGTACACGAGAAGCATTGTGGTTCCAACCAAGACTATGTCATAGTAAGGACATAAATGAAAAAAACAAAGAAAGAAATATCCAGGCATACCTGTTGTTTCTACTAAAAGGCAGACTTGTTGTCTCCACTTCCTTGTTTCAAATAAAGACTGTCTTTTAAAAGAAACATCAGGTTACCTGGATATTTATTTTTTCTTTTTAATGTCTTCAGGGATTGGCCCTCCCTTTCTGGACCACCCTACAGGAAGTATTCCACCTTTTTTTAGTGTGTGCATTAAACTCTTGCTTTGTTTGCAAACAATAGCAAGGAAATAATACAAACACACAATAATCGAGCACAGGTCTTTTATCCGAATCACAGAGTAGCAATGTTTTGGCTCCAGTGAGATTTTGTCAAGCAGTTCTCCACAGGGGTTTTATACACATTAGTCATGTGGCATGAAAAATTTACGTTAATTAAGTTGATGGAGTGACTAGTTTGATTTATAACACTTGACACTCTGTGCCACTCTGTACTTGAGAATTAAAGGACCACTATAGGCACCCAGACCACTTCAGCTTAATGAAGTGGTCTGGGTGCCAGGTCCACCTAGGATTAACCCTTTCTGCTGTAAACATAGAGAAACTGCTATGTTTACTTTAGGGTTAATCCAGCCTCTAGTGGCTGTCTCATTGACAGCCGCTAGAGGCGCTGATTTTCGCAGTGAGAAGACGCCAACGTCCATAGGAAAGCATTCAGAATGCTTTCCTATGAGACTGGCTGAATGTGCGCACGGCTCTTGCCGCACATGCGCATTCAGCCGATGACGGGGAAAGGAGGAGGAGAGTCTCCAGCACCAGGGGAGCCCGGCGCTGGAGAAAGGTAAGTGTTTAACCCCTTCCTCTCCATCCAGCCCGGCGGGAGTGGGACCCTGAGAGTGGGGGCACCCCCAGGGCACTATAGTTCCAGGAAAATGAGTATGTTTTCCTGGCACTATAGTGGTCCTTTAAATGCCCTTACTTTACTAACACCTAGTTCCTGTATTATTTTCTTCTCTCTCTTCTTCTTGATGATGTCTCTCGTCTGAGTGTTGCCCATGTGGCTTCAAATAATGTGATGAGTACAATCATGAACATAAAACAAAACCAATGTATGGGCCACAAAAGGAATAGGCAGATCTTGGTTAGAACACTGCACCAAACCAAGGATTTAATTATTTATTTATGAAATATTTTAACAGAAAAGATACATCGAGATTTACTTTATTTTCAAGTATGTCCTGGGCCTACAAACATGCATTGTTACAATAGGGTACAATATAATATTACAAAAATAATGCAATATACAATATATATACATATATACATCGTTTTTAGATTGAATGGAGATTTGACCTTGTCTGTGAGGGTATTCCATAATTGTGGTGCTCTGTAGGAAAATGAGGATTGATACACTTGATTTATGTATAGTGGTATGCTAAATAAAGTGCTGGTACTGGATCAGAGTTTTTAGGGGGTGGGAACAGCTGGGGAGAGCATTCTGGGTCCTTCACCACGAGACTTCACCCATCTTACAACATATAAAACAACATCTTAAACATAAAAACATAGTGATTTTAATTTGGTCGAATTTCAACCCTTTCAGGATCATTGTTAAGTAAATGCTATGTTATCATGACAGACTTGACTTTTCCTTGAAGTGTCTCATACAGCAAGCAAAGTCTTTTCTTACTTGGACAGGGTGAAGGTAAAAGCTACAGACCAGAGACATATCACTGCATGTAAACAAGGAAATTTTTGAAAATTTTGTGTATGTGTCATGGAACATTTTTGTGTGTATCTGTTTTTCAAATGGCTTGCATGTCTTTCAGTGTGTATGTATGTACCATAATTTGTTTGGTGTGTTATTGCATGTGTGTATGTGTCAATGTGGGTTTATGTGTTGTAGGTATCTTTGTGTGTGTATCTAAATTTGTATTGCGCACTTGAAGAGATTGATCAATGTGTCAATGATAGTGATATACATTTTCATTTGGTGTTTTTAGCATTTGGCTTTGCAATTTACTATATTTTTTTGTTTGTTTGTATTTGTGTGTGTATTGCTTCCTTGGCACAGTAACTGTAATTTTTGTTTTAAATATTACCACATTTTCATTGATACAACAAATTTATCAAGCACGCCAGCACTTTTTCTGCTGTACTAAATATGGTTGTCCATTCTAAAAAATATATATCAGAAAATATCTTTAAGTGAAACGTGAAAGTTACCTGAAGAAATGCTTACACCTTTTATTCCTATAAAAATTATTACAGATTGCAGTTACTGGATTCCTATTGGTTGAGAAAATATATAAATATTGTGTTCTCTGTTTAACCCAGTAAGGACACTTGAGGAAAATGTTCTGTCATGCTGGCCGTTTACTTCTGAATGTTTGTCCTTAAGGGGTTAACATATGTATCCTTCTACATTATTTAGCCCATACGGCAAAATGATTTATATCTTGCTAAAATACCCTAGGTTATATGCACAGATATAAGGATTCATGGGTGGTCTGAAGAATATTCATGTTGCAGTATTACAGGAGAATTCCAGTGAACCCTAATTTATCATTTTCACCTGAATATTTTTTTTTCTGTATAACGTCATGTTGAAACTTGGCTATTAACGTAACAAGAAAAGGAATTATCCTATACTTTTCATGTATAATTTGCAAACCATATATCAAAAGCTAAGCTATTTTGACACATACTTAGTCATGTCATGAGGTTGCCTTATAAGTCATGCATGCATAAATACGCTCATGGGAAAATGAAACCATATACTGAGTGCGAGGCCACGCATGTTAGTAGGGTAGTCAGAGAGTTTTCGAATGGTGGTGTATAAATCACTTTGATAGCAATTTGCTGACAACATTGAAGTAAATCTTTGGAGAATTTTATGCAGTTACAATCAGAAAATATAAATATTGAATAACTTTATGTAGTTATGTAATGGCTTGAGTTCCACAACAGAAACATATTTCAATATTTTTGTGATCAGAAAAGGAGGTCTTTAACACTGTTATGGTGGCATAGCATAACCTAACGATCAGGACATAACAGGAGCAACAGGAAAACCAAAATATTGGAAAACTGCGCCAAAGACTATTAAAACGTACTGATCAACCCTTTAGTGAAGTATATAGTAAAAAGTGTATACATACATGCATACATACATATATACATACAATCCACAAATAATCCTGCACTCTCCAAATTCCAGACTTAGATGCCCAGTGCTCATCTGCATAAATACATACAAATCAAAATAGATACCACTCCAGGGACTTGATACAATGAAGTAAAACATAGCTTTTAATGCTTACATGGATAAAATTTGACAATATTGCACTCTTGTTTGTTTTTGTTTATCTTGTTTTGAGAATCCTGTGGTGGTCACTTAATACAAGAATCAACGTTTCAGTCTGCCCCAGCAGTCTTTGTACTGAAATGTTGATTTTTATTCATGAAAGCATTAAAAGCTAAGTTTTACTTAACTGGATCAGGTCCCTGGAGTGCCATCTATTTTGATTTGTATATATATACATATATGTGTGTGTATACATGTTAAATATGTATGTA